CAGTATATATATCGTATAAATATACACATATCTAATATATATATATACAGTATATATAATATGCTTGTATGGAAATATGGATCCACACATGGACCGGGATGGCAACCGGGCATTCCAACCTTGCCAAAACCGGATAAACATCCCTTGGCCGGGGGTCTTCGCATCAGATCGCTAACGGGTTTGTCAGCGTAACAAGACGTTTTGTCAGCGTGACAGTTCAAATCTTTGGGTGAAATGTCTGACCATGAGGAGTTGGCTCCGACGTTCCGACGTTCCCGTAGGCCATGTGGTTTCATCATCCCTTCCCGCGCTGGCGGGCTGATGAGTGGCTGCTCTACGTCGGGAAGCCCAAGCGGCACCCAGCGGCGGTGGCCGGGTTGGTGTCCGAAGTCAAGTGGTTCGTGGTAGAGTCAGATTCCCCCAAAATCAAAGCACCCAAAGCACCCAAGTTTCTCACTGATCTACTGGTTAGATGAGGGCGATCAAGGTGGTCACCCATGCTTGAAGCTTTGTGTTTGAATGTGTTTGAACATATATTGTGCTAATTCTTGTTTGCATCAGCCCAATCCAGACGCAGTGTTTTTTCCATGTCAGCAACCCAACCGACTTCCCGAGCGGCGCCGGCCGGGCAGGTGATGTACTCCCCGCGCCTCACGGGCGCTCGGGGCTTGTCCCATGGGCACATCTTCACCCGCGATGGCTGGCTGGCGCCGCTGGCAGCAGAGCAGGGCGAACGAGACGTTTGGAACGAGCGTCGCTCATCGGAGCTCGGATCGCTCGGAGACATGGACCGTTTGGGGATGAAGGGTTTGGAAGGACCAAGGACCGGCGCCCCTTCACCCCCCAGCCGTGGCGTCGTCTCAGTTCACTCGCGGGGAAACCGGAAAGCTGTCGGGGAAACCTGTCAGTCGCCTGGTGACTATCCTGGTCTTTTGGGTCGATGTGGAGCAAGAACTCTTCAAGAAAGCAACGTGCGTTGATCAAAGTGGGATTTGTGCTTGCGTCATGTGCTGGAGGCTCTAGAATCTCTGGAAAGTAGGATCTGACGATGTCAGAAGTTTTTGTACATGCTGCATTCCCTGAAAGTTCTACATGCAGTCGTACTAAGTATCATCTATGATTTCACCGGTCAAGGCCAAGGCCACAGTCCGTGTTTCACATGGTGACCTTCCCCCATGTCCACCGTTGGTCCCCTCGCACCAGGTGGTGAGCTGTTCGCAGGAAGGTCTCATACGCAGCTTGGCTTCAAAGCGTGAAAAAGGGCGAGGTGGACCGTTTCCGAACATCAACGATGAATTCGTTGGCCGCCACGACGTGGTGTTTGATGAAATGTAGGCCCTTGATTGATAAACACCCCCCATGAAGAAGTTTTAACCATCCAAGTGTTCGATCTTATTCATCAGCCTCACCGGGGTGCTTGCTCAACTGCTGGCCGCCATCCGAGCAGATGGGCGCAGCCCTCCCCTGCCTGATCCCTTTGCCTCCAACAAAGATAGACCCTCCAAAAAGGCGTTGGAAGATGACTCTCCGAGCAAGTGGAAGTGGAACATGGCCGCTGGGAATACCATTTTCTAGTTGGTTTTCCACTTCTGCGTTGGTGCTCAGTAAGAGGGAGGGCTATCTGAGTTTTCCGGGTGTAAAGTGCAACCACCCCCAGGAGTCTCCAAGTCCCTGCTTCAAAGCTGGGCTGAGGATTCACACAAAGGTACCACCTACCACACTCCATAGCGTGCCACCGGTCGTTCCAACGACAACAAACCTCTAGAAAGAAATTGTGTGACTCGGCACCGTAGTGCGGTAGTGGTAGCTGGCGTTCGCTTTGGTTTCACTTGGTTCAACCTTCACTCTCACAGCAGGGCGCGGCTCAGGCTTTGGCAAGGATCGCGGGCTGCCTCCGACGAAAAGACCAAATGATAAAGTGAGCAAGCTTTAAGCCTCCACCTCCAGTGGCCGGTTGGGCTGCTGGAGTGGCTGGAGTGCCTTCTGCTTTTGTGGGCACCACTCCTCTCCGGCGTGAGCCAAAGTCACCGAAGTTCAAGGTCCAAGGACAGCTGCTTTTGGGGCCTGGAAGGGGCTCATGAGTCTTTGAGGTGCGGGCTGGGGTTAAAGAAGTCTGCAACACGCGATATAGATTCCAACGATTCCAAGGATATGGCCTGGAACCAATGGTGAGACTTACCTACACATAACCCGCATTTTGCCAGGCCATCGGCCTTGGGTTTGCTTACGAAAACCGGAGAAACGTAGCGAGACGATGGGTGGGGTCCCGCGTCTTGAAGCCTATATGCGGTGCTTCCTTTGAATACACTCCCTCGGCTGTGCCAGGTATGTGCTAGGTCAGACTGATGTGATGTTTGATGTCAGGGGGAGTGCTTGGAGCATTTGCAGAACAAAAGACAACTCCACCAGTGATGCGCCAGACTGCTTGAGATGCGCCAGACTGGTGTCACCAGTGTTTTTGCTTGAAACACTCCCGACTGATGCGTCCAGCACCGACTAGAGCAGTTTGCTGCTGTTGCAAAGCACAGCTGGCAAAGAGACCAAAAGATTTGGCAGCACAAGGATTTGGCTGATTGTATTGCTGGCAGACTGCTGGAAGTCTAGTGAATTTAGAGGTGTCAGTGAATTCCAGTCTTTTGTGGACCCACTGCTGGGTTTACTATTACAGCTTACATACACACCCCACCTAAAAGTTCAACGATCGCTTTAGTTTTGACAAGTGTATATAAATCGTTCTTCTTTGTGCAAGCATCACCATATGTTTCACAGCCCAATAAACCCATGGTTTGGTCACCGTCATACTCGTCATCGCCCTATTATATAAGTAGGCCAGTGGCGTCAGCACTGAGGTGCCTGAGATCCCTGAGATCCCTCACACGCCAGAGTTCCCCTTTGACTTGGAGGACGGAACGAGAACCGCCGGTGGACCAGGCCGTGCTGTGTTGTAGGGAGTGTAGTGTAGTGTAGATAGCATCTCGAAAATGATGCAGAAGTACTAGACCTTAAATCTTTCCCGCACGAGCCTGCCAGATGCCTGACATGACATTGGCCAAACTAACAGTACCTGAACACTGTGCGTTCTTTTTCGACTTTGATGCCTCAAGCAAGATGCAGAAGTCCATAGCCTAGCCGAATGCGAGGATATTGACCTTGAAAGCCGAGAACTTGGCCGAGCCATCATTCACCTGCGATCGGTTGGTGTGCTTTCCTTCGAGGTTTTGGGTCTTGAGTGGTTTCTTCAAAGCCCAAGACCTTTGTGTTGTCCGCCCAGAGTAGCAGCAGCACTAGGATCTCCGCCATCATTCAGATGTTCTTGGTTTCTGTAAGCTTCCGGAGCTTAGACTCGAAATCTTACGCGAATCCTCACTAAGTGACGAGATCGCCTCCAAGAGGCTGTTGTGAGCAGTCTAGTTCTAATTAAATTATTGATAGTTATTGTTTCTAATAGCTTCTTGTTACTAGTAGTAAGGCCAGGAGCCCCTAGTAGCATCCTTTGTCACTAGTAGCGGAGTAGCGTCCCAGTAGCGTCCTTGCTCCTAACCCCCAGCTAAGGTCTTCAGAGAAGTCCAAGTGCCAAAGATCTCGTGGACCAGTTCTGCACCCAGGACGCGTTGGGATCGAACGGGACAGGCGATGCACATGGCAGCCCCTTTTTCCTTCTTCACTGGTCAACCTTCCTTTGTCAGGTTTGCAAGATAAATATAACATAATTAACCTTCTTATTTTATGATGTGTTTTTTCATAAACCTTCTCAACGACCATGTCAAGGCGAACATCCCAAAGGACGACGAAGACGCTTCAGCTAGCCTCGAACTCCACGTCTCAGCGGCCCCAAACGTACACCATCGAGTGGAGGTTGAGGGCAGTTCTGATCGTTTCGAGTCTTAGCCAAGCACTTGGAAACCCCATGCAGTCTGAAGACGGCTTGATTGGTGCTGATTTTGGCAGGGTTGATTGAACACCGAGGTGTTGAGGTGTGATAAGTTAACGTGTATATTGAAGTCTATCAACAGCTACATTAAGTTAGTGCTGTTTTTTGTTTGTTATTTATGTATGTTTGTTTTTGCATCGGACCCTTTGTCTCCAGGACCTTGATGCTTGGTGCGTTTTGACTGCACTAAGTCACAACCGTGTTGAGCCGGTTGGGACACGCACCACTCGCATCGGTGCAGACCTCGTTGCAGACTGCGCTCACCTCTCTAGCTGGTTCGAAGGGAGCAGGGGAGCTGGGGGCATCATATTCCCCACTCACGAAAGCTGCCAGGACTTTTTTTCTGAAGAGTTGCTTTTTGGTCGCAGCTGTTCACTGATGTTGGAAGAAACCAGATGCACGCTTGCATGTCACCAGCCGATACAAGCAATCACTGCCCACCAACTGACCAGTTGCCACTGTACACCCAGCCAGCCATGAAGCTGCAGGTGATTAGGCTCAGTCAGTGCTTCCCACGTGCAAGCACGGAGCAAGCATGGAATGTGAATGAATGGGACATGGCCCCCCAGAAAACCAGGTTCCTGCAGCTTTTTTCAATTTCTTTTTGGTGAATGTGAGTGCACGAGCCTTTTAAACAAGATTTAATTCAACGCATTGATCAATTTATGCATGCATCGTCAAGATAAAGAAAACAGCATGGAGAAGCCAAAAAGCTTGGGGCAAAAGGGCCGCGCACTTCCACATACTTCTCACTCTCCAGGGGATTGGCCTCCACGACTCCACGACCACTGATCCTGTTCAACCACACAATGACGTTTTGACATGTCAACATC